ACAGGATTGTGTAAAGGAGAAAAAAGACAGGGATTCAGCCAAAAGAAGATGGCGATTGCCGTTGCATTTAAATTTTTGGAGATTATACTTATCAAGGAAGCAAGTAAGAGGAAGGGAGTTCCACTCTGAGGAAGTACAAGAGAAGAAGCTGTTGGAATAGAAGAGGCGGTTTCATTTAACTGTTTTAACAATGAAAGTGTGGGACTGAGATGCCAACCTAGTAGCACGCTTAAATTCATATAATCGATGCACCAGGGTAAAAAGATCGTCAGAGCAATAGCCATGAAAATATTTGTAGAAAAGACAGTGTCTGAAGTCGAGAAGGCAATTCAGGACCGATTACATTACAGATCTTTCTTTGAGTTTTGTCGAGAACCTCGAGGTCAGTGGCAGGGGCACCAGGCCAGATATGGCAACACTATTCAATGCAAGGACGAATGTTAGATTTGTAGATGTGCGAGAGAGATACCTTCTGACACGACACAATGAATCATCTTTCCTTGCAGTAGATGCAGCTATTGATTCAATGTAGCTGTTCCACTCCAAGTCAGTTGAAAACTTGAGGTCAAGATGGCGCAATGAGACGATCTCACGGAGATGGGCATCAATCTTGCTGATGGGGTTAAGGACGTTTCTCTATGGTGGTGAAATGCGAGCAGTTTAGTTTTAGAGATATTACAAGCCATTTCCTGCCCCAGTCAGCTACTGATTGGAGTTTCTTTTCGAAAGCAACGGGCAGGTTTATTTTGTCAGCGCTGCCATGCTTACTATTGAGACAGAAGTAAATGGTATTGTCATCTGCATAGATGCCTACGTAGAAACTGATGACATCAGAGGGATCATTGATAAAGATCAGAAACAGTGTAGGATCCAGGATAAAGCCTTGGGGGAACACTCGCATTAGTATGAAAGGAACTAGAAGTGTGCCCGTTCAGGATGATCTTCATTTCCCGATTAGATAAGACTGATTGGATTAAATCAAGTAAACGTCCTATAATACCGTAACCAAAATCAGAAATATTACTCGGGTACAGTCGGAAGAGATTCCTGAAGGCTATAGCAGCCGAGCAAGCAAGTGAGAACCAAGGAGATGAACGCAGTTTTACTTGGTATTTCCTGGCTGGAATGAAAATATCGATATCGGCTTTCACCCAGGAGAAAGCCTCAGACGCGCATTTTTTAATGGAATGTTTGAGAACGTCACGAAGGAAATCATGAAACGAATCCCGGCCTGCTCGTTGATAACAGAAAGATATTCTGCTGGTAGGAGGTTCATGTCTGGTGGAGGAGCGTACGGAAACGTTTACAGACACTACTGCATGATCATATGTGCATGATCAAGGGGGCAGAGCTGCGTCAGGGATAGAGGGGAAAAATCGAGAAGAGAAGCGTTTCCGTCAGGGTTACTGGGGAAACGCGTAGGGAAGTCAACCACTTGCGTGAGGGATTGAGTGACTGAAAATTTCAGAGTGTGGATGCCAGCGAGGTCAGTGGCAGTGTGTTTAAGCCACCTGGTATGGTGGGATTTAAAGTTACCGAATACGAATATGTTAACTGACGAGTGTAGGGAGATGGCCTTGTCTATATTATTAGAAATACTGTCTAGCACGCAACACCCTTGAGAGGAAGGGGAACGGTAGAGAAAGAAGAGATAGCTGACTGAATTAAGTAGAGAGTCACAGACACATGTAAGAATCGTCAGGAGATTCGAGAGAGAGATTTCTAACTAGCGCGAAATGTTCACGAACATAAACTTCCAGGTCATGGACTTTAGAGTTCTTTCTAAGTAGAGGAAGGTAGCCAGGAATCGAGAAATCAGAGGAAGGGATTGATGAGTTAAGGTAGAGCTAGAATAGAGAGCTAGAATATCCGGAGTCTTTTCAAAGAGGAACAATTCTACATTGTAGAAGTTAGTATGAATACCGTGCTGATGTTCAATAAGGACAGGTTAAGGGATTTAGGTGATTTTTTTTGCCGAGCTAGTTTAGCTTTATATTTTTGGTTGTTTATAGTCACGATGTGTTATTTTGGTGAGGAAAGGCCTAGGGTAGTAGTCGCTGTTGGTCATTAAATGTATCATGGGTAGAAGGAAACTGGGGGAGACTGCAACATAATGTGGCCTCAGGCTGTCCCACCGGAGGAGCTTGCAGGGACATCCATCCATGCTCAATATGGCACTGCAAGAACCTCAGTGTTATGCAAATGTTGATCAGGGCAGCCTCTCGAGACGCTACGCAAGATTTCGGGCTCCTAACTACCAGTCAGGAATAGCAACCAGAAAACTGCCAAACCGGTACCTTCATAATTAAAGAGACGTTGCCGCCAACCACGCACATCACAAAAAAATTAACACCGCTATTAACTTAGTTAAAGTCCGAATAGCAGATCTTCACACTGTAAAGTTGGTAATCCAGAGGGAGTTGAGAAGTACAATATTACTACCCCCCCGCTTTTTTTTTTCAATTCCAACTCTTTCTATTTCACTTAGTGATAGGAAGAGAGAAGTGCCAAATCTACCAGGATACGTGTGACTTACCCGACAAATAGTTAAAAAACACAAGAAATCAGACATGATACGGAATATATATATATATAAAAAGGACAAGGGCACCTCGACGTGATCTAATGGTTAGAAAGCTTGTCTCGCTAGATCAATTACGACTAAGTAGTGAGTTCGATCCTCACTGGGTGCTCGATACTTTCGACCTTGTGCCACATTTAAGCCGGGCAACAAGGACAATACTGGAGGAAAATGTATGACAAATGGGGAAAAAAAGTTTTCGTGTAACGCGTTTACTATACGAATAAATTAGTTACGTTGGTGCGACTACACATGCGCACGAACGAGGGGTGCTAGGGAATTTTTTTTTTTTTGGAGGGGGGTATTTTTGTTTCTATCATTTGGAATCCCGTATTGTTATAACAGAAGATCTGCTAGGAATCTTATAACAAAAGTGATGTAAACAAAAAGAAAAAAAAAGAATCTAAATTAAACCGACTAGATTATATACCGCTCAAAATATTTAATTCCCAGCATCCCTCATTTGTATGTAACACATTCAATACGATGAAGTCCTAAAAAGTAAAACGCTTCACACGAAAACTTTTTTTCCACTTTGTCATACATTTATTTATATATATATATATATATATATATATATATATATATATATTGTGTGTATTTAGGCAGCATATTTAATGAAACGTGTATATATATATATATATATATATATATATATAAAACAAGAAACCAGATCAACAAACAAAACAGAGACGCTACCAACTGAAATCCTGTAATAAATGTGTACACTGATTATATTACAATTTCTCATGAAAGACAATTACGTGTCACCTTTTCACTCACATAAATATATAATACATTGTAGTTCGTTGAAGAATGAATTTGTCTCTTCTTTTAACTATATTACACTTAGTTCTGTATATAAATGTATTTCAAATTTAAGAATCTGCAATTTCATTGGTCTTTACCTGATATATCGACTTCAGTGACTTACACATCGCCGTAATATAGTTTCCCAATGCTTCTTTTATATTTTCATGTTAATTGTTCCTCTATGGAATTTAATTTCATGTTAATTGTTCCTCTGAATTTAACCGCAGTACTAGATTGGCAGCAAGGTTTCCTCAGTTTACAGTTAAAATGGCTAATGTAATCATAAGTTTTATGGTAACAGTTTATCTCACACGTCTCCTCTGTGGAACTCTTTTTGCGGCTTCTTATTTTCCATTTAAATTTGATCCTCAAAAATTTAAATGCCATGTTAATTTTTATTTTTTTGAATCTTAATTTCTGTTCTTTTAGCGTTTTCACTCCTTAATAATGTATACAATTCTTATATTCCTTCACACTCGGTAGCCCCCCCCCCCTGCGTGTTAGTGGCTTTGTTGCCTTGCTTGGGGCAAAATGATATTTTGTAAAAGGTGTTGGATTAATTTATTTAGGTACTTTTTTAATTTTCAGCTGATAATTTTTTTTTATGTTTCCCAGACGAATCCGAGATGAATAAAAAGAATTTTTAGGCCGGTCACCTGACTGAAACACTTGCGTATTTCCAAGATGAATGTGAAGATTTCGAATGTTGATTTTCAAGAGTGGCAGGCTCTTCATGAAGGCCTAACACAACAAATCTAGATCCAGATGTTCACATCTCGGACCCGCCATGCCACGCACACATTGTCGGCTGGTGCTCATTCTCTTGGTGTTCCTTTGGTAAAGGTAACTGCTACTTTGTGGAACAGACTTCTCAATATGTACTTCCCTGATCAATACAATCTTTACCTCTGCTATATATCCTAGATATCCTCAAAATATATACCTCTTCGCACGCTCTTGCAACAATCTCGTTTATTAACACTCTGCCTTGAATAGCTCTTGGGCCTTGTCTTGAGTAAACAATAGTATAAAAAATACGCTCTCTCTCATTTTAGCTTTTTATCTGACTAAAATAAACTTAGCAAATAACAATGCAAAATTAATTGAAGTGAAATACCTACTACAATTACATTTGACTGGCTTCATATCCTAAGAAATTAATTTGATATTCATAATAAAGTGAGAGTTGTAAATGTGAAAGACAATAAAAAATAAATTAAACCGGGGGCGTGACTAGAAGATAAATATTACAGGGCTTTTTTTTTAAAACTATTTTCAGACATTAAGTAAATCCCATGTAAAATGAAATTAAGACGTGTCCAGTAACAATGGCTGCTGTACCGACGAAGGTGAAAGACAACGAACAAAAATTGAAAGACATTGGTTAATAGAAAGAGTTAGGCTTTCAAGAAATGAAACTTAGCAGACGAGAGGCGGCGTGAGGATGCGATGGCGACTGCTAAATGGAAACGAGACGACAATGCCTGCCTTCTACCCGCTTGGTCGGAAGCGATATTCAAAGGACAGATAATATGTGAAGAAAAAAAAATGAATCAAGAAATGAAAGAATTGCTGATGTGGTATTTTCAGTTGAGGACGTTGATTAATGAGTTTATTTCATGAAAGTAGATTCACTCCCTCTTTCACTTCGTCACCACCGTTCTTCGTACTGGGCATTCATTTTATTCACTGCAACTCTGGTCGTTTTCATCTGTTATTTTATTATTATTATTCGAATTCTCTACCTTCTTTCTTGCTTGCTTGCTAGCTTTCTTCTCCTTTACAGGCGTCTCATCTCAGTTCTCCTAATCTTCGGATTCGCAGACTTTTCTTTTCATTTGCAGGCTTCTTTTTCCCCATCTTCCTCCACCTCTTTCTTGACGTCTGCCTTTATTATCAATGCATTTTCTTCTTCTTTCTCGAGGCCTACATTACAAATTCTGCTTCTCGATTATAATTTCCCCCAACCGCTTTCATTTCCTTAGTTAATTCTATTTACTTATCTTGACCTCCTCGCTATTCCTTTTTATCTACCTCCTACCTCCCTTTTTTTCATCCTCTTCTCATTCATCAGATGATTTTATTCCGCTTCTGTTAAGTTACGAAGACCTTTTACTTCTTCATCTACTCAAATTCTAACATCTTAAGGCTACTACAACTTTTTTCTTTTTCCTCTTCCTTCTCCTCTTCTTTTTCTTTTTCCTTCTCGTTTCCTTGCTCTTCTCGGCGTCCCTCTTCTGTAAGCTTATCTGGACGTTTTTTTTTTCCTTCTTCTTCTTCATCCTCCTCCTTTCCATCTCCTTTCTCCTCCTATTTTCTGCCACCTCATCTTTCCCTTCTTCCTCCTCCACTCCTCTTCCTGTTCTCAACCTTTAGCTTCTGTAACATTACATTAACCATTGGGATTCTTCTTCCTCCTCCTCCTCCTCCTCCTCTTATTAGCTTCCAGTTTCTGTAAAATTAACTCAACTCCTTCCTCCTCTCTCTCAACCCCCGACTTTCCTTACATTACCTTAAACATTTTTCTTCCTCCTCCTCCTCCTCCTATTCTTCGTTTCTAGCGTCCGTGTCGTTACTAAATCGTACATCTTTTTCTTCAGTTTCTGAATCAATTTTTTTTTTTTTTCTTTCTTCTTAGTCCTAAATTTTTGTAATATTATCTGTCTTTTCTTTTTCCTCTTTCTTTCTTTCTTTCTTTCACAGTTGTCCACTTTTTTTAAATCCTTTTCACACTTCTGCTTATTATCATCATTCTCATTATTTACATCTGTCATTGTTTCGTTTTATTTGTCATCTTTTGTCCATTTTCCTCATGTTTTCCTTTTATTTCTTCTGTCACCTTTGTCGTCTGTCTTATCTTTATTGTCTTCGTTTTCTCCTTTCGTGTCCATAAACTTGTAAAGATCTTGTTCTACTCTTTGCCTCAACTTTCTCTCTCAGACACACCCAACATACTTTATCTCTTTCTATTCTTTATCGTCCTTTTCTTTCTTACTGCTTTTCTTTCTTGCTTTCTTCCTCTCCTGATGTACTCCTATCTGCCGTCTTTGTTACCTTTCAATTCAAAACACGTTCTCTCTCTCCTTCTCTCTCTCTTTCTTTTTCTCCTTCTCTCTCTCTCTTTCTTTTTCTCCTTCTCTCTCTCTCTTTCTTTTTCTCCTTCTCTCTCTCTCTCTCTTTCCTTCTCTCTCTCTCTCTCTCTTTCTTTTTCTCCTTCTCTCTCTCTCTCTTTCTTTTTCTCCTTCTCTCTCTCTATCTCTTTCTTTTTCTCCTTCTCTCTCTATCTCTTTCTTTTTCTCCTTCTCTCTCTATCTCTTTCTTTTTCTCCTTCTCTCTCTATCTCTTTCTTTTTCTCCTTCTCTCTTTTTCTCCTTCTTTCTCCTTCTCTCTCTCTCTTTCTCTCTCTCTCTCTTTCTCCTTCTCTCTCTCTCTTTCTCCTTCTCTCTCTCTCTTTCTCCTTCTCTCTCTCTCTCTTTCTCCTTCTCTCTCTCTCTCTCTCTCTTTCTCCTTCTCTCTCTCTCTCTCTCTTTCTCTCTCTCTCTCTCTCTTTCTCCTTCTCTCTCTCTCTTTCTCCTTCTCTCTCTCTTTTTTCTATCTTTCTCTTTTTCTCTATCTCTTTCTCTCTCTCTCTTTCTCACCATTTTTAATTCTTAAGATACACGTTTTCCTTTTTCTTTGTTTTCTTTCTCTACTTACTTTTTTCATGTGCATCTTTTCACTTTCGTCAGGATATAATCACAATTAGTCGCAATTTGTATCTTAGTAGTTGAGTCATGTGTTCTTTGATGTTTCAGTTTCATTATTTTTCGCATTATCCTTAACAAAGCATTGGTCTTTTATTATTAACGTCGATGGTAACATTATTTTTACAATGTTTGATAATATTATGACTAAGTTCATTTTATTGATTGAGTTTTCTCCGTCCCTTTCCATCAGCGGACTATTTTTCTTTTCTTTTTACATTAATATAATTAATGACACAACCTTTGAAGATGCTGATGCTACTGCTAAGATATTATGAAAAAGAAATGGCAGATTAACAATGTTAATTACAAACCAGCAGCCATGCAATACAAACATGCAAATCCATGAATAAATGAATCTGGCTCAAGGAATTACAAAAGTAAAGACGACGGGGACAGAACAGTGATATACTGCGAGTTTTAACAACGACCTTAGGTCGATCGTGTTAATGGTCTCACAGTAAATCAGAGGCAGATCAGAAAAGTGTGTATATATATATATATATATATATATATATATATTATGGACTACCACGTCGATTCGACGTATAAGGACCCAACACTCTTTTCAGTTAATTCTTTATGTTTATACCTTAAATGACACTTCAGACCAGCTGCTGATTTACACATCAAGCCACATTTAGTGCAGATGACAGGATTTTGAATAGAGCAGTTTGGAAGGCTTGATAGAATCGGTGTTAGTTCTTAGATCACGAAGATGGACCAAACGAGTTCTTTATATCTTCATGGCAGACTGTTCCGTTTCCCACGCTTAGCAGCTCAGTCTTCAAAAGAAGTAAGCGATACGTTGAAAAACTTCACACACACACACACACACACACACATATATATATATATATATATATATATATATATATATATATATATATATTGTACATTTTTTAATATATAATCATCGCAACACCGGAATTCCCATGTTTCAAAACTGAAACTTCAATTCAAATTCAATCATAAAAATTAAATTTAAAATACAAAGTTCCGTTCCTTAATCCAGCGATGCTAAGAATAACTTTTTAGAAATTGATTTACTTCATTTATAAGTCCAGACAAATTTGATATTTTGATATACTGAGGTTAAGAAAAATTACATTTTTTTATTTTAAGGGTGTTCAGATTTAACTTATTTAGAACTCTCATATATCTAATGTATTGTAGCTATCAAGTCGGTCTAGTCAAGGCCGGGGCTGGAGTATCTGTCTATTGACACAAACTTCCTTTCTTCAAGTAGAAATTTGTGGTAGTGTCTATATTCCAACACATCGTATGGATTTCAATAGCAATACTATTGGCATATTTATTTTTTATTCAATTTTTATTTATGTATAAATTTCAATTACGATTTCTTCAAAAGGGGCATTCAAACATTATTTTTTTAATATTTTTATTTTTATTCCTACTGACTTTAGTAATTGAGTACATATATATTAATATTAAAATCAATATATTAGAATCTAATTATATATTCATAAATTATTTTATTTACGATCAAATATAAATGTTAGTTTCATTTTTTTTTAATTATTTATTACTTAGACTTTTGTAGACACTGCCTACAAAAAACCACTACTTCATTTCTTTGATTTAATAAATTCTTAATTTACAGAAATTTAATAATATTTAACTTTTCATTTATGCACAAAGGACATGGGTCATTTAAAGATCTACAGTTTCTTGGGGGTTTTTTTTATTAATTTCCATTTTACTGTTTGTGTTTTATTGGTTTCTTTTAAATGCCAGAAATATTTAGATAAGAATGTCTGATTGCGGTATTAAGTATTATTGAAGTAACTTTGGTGTTGGTCCCATCATAATTTAAATCCATTCTTTGTACAACCTATATAGACTCTAATACCATTAGGATTCTAAATAAATGAGTTATTGCATTTATAAACTACAGATTTTATATGATATGTATTATTCAGAGGAAAAATTTCAGGATTTCTACAAATACATAATTTTTCTTTATTTTTGTTTATTCTTATTCCAGTTCAAAAGCTTATTAATGCTGTCTTTCCACTTGTCCGTTATCAAAAATTGACCCTTCGTCATCTTGTATGAGAAATACTGAATGTTTTCATGCTCTACCTGCCTAATAAGAAACTCCGACACTCCTGTATTCTTGGTTATGGATCTGATTGACTTGGAGGAAATGTTGTCAATTATGGCCTGGATCTCACCAACAAATTCTGGAGGTCTTAGAACGAGTTTTCCGAGCTGCGGTACCTTCGTAATCACCATTAGACAACCAACTCTTTCCAGATCCTCTGCACTGTCCTCATATTGACACCCAAACACTCTGAAATGTTCGTATTGGAGCTTCCGGCACGAATGCCAAGTAGTATATCATACTGTTCACAAATTTCTGGCGGAGTGACTGGCATCAATGTGCTCTTTTTCTCACAGACGGTGCCCAACTGAGGCTTATATATTTTGCAGTTGACAAAATCAGAAATGAAATTAAAAATATAAATAGCGACAACTTAACCATCGCACTCTGTATTTGTGTGTGGTGGGGATGTGTACAGAATATTCTGCGTCAGTGGGATCCAAGTCATCCAAGCAAAAAAAATCGTCATAAAAATTAAGATATAAGAAAATATTCTGTATCTAAAGATAAAAAAAATCTTTTTAAAAAAAAATATCGAAATACCAGGATCTCACTCGAGAACTAACACATCTACACAGCCTTGTGAGTGATGAAATATTTTTCACCGTACAACCTTTTTTCCAAAGATGAAACGTCGCGAGCCTCACGCTGCGCTATGGTTATTTCCATGACATGTGAGCTACATTCCTTAATCCCATCACCCCTGATCTTTACAAATGGAACCGCCATGCCACGTACTCAAGTGAATCATCCCCATTATCATCGTTTTTCAACAGTAAAGAGTAAGTTCCTTTATGACAGCTTCTTCCCAATAACTGTTGCTTTGTAGAACAGACACCAAGCATGATGTTTACTCAGTCACTACAATGTTGACTTCTTCAAGTCAAAGGTTAACCGTTATCTTTCCTACCTAGCCCCATGAAGTTCACTTCATGTCCTTTCTTATGCACATGCAGCATAACACAGTAATCCTCTAAATGAGAGCAAATCCCCTCTGTACAATAGGATATTCCTCATATTTTGAGATGATTTTAGTAATGTTAATGCTCTCAATAGTCCTCCTTAGTTCTAGTTTCCTCAGCCTTTTTCTGTCTTCCTCAGAACTGTTTCCAGTATTCCCATAACGACCGGCACCACTGTCACCTTCACGTTCCAAAACTCGCTCAGCTATCTGGCAAGATTGATATATTATATTTGAATAATTTTTCACTGAGAAAGAATAGTTTTAAATTTAGTATATGAAATGTGCTATCCTCTTCCTTAAATCTTCTCACTTGGAAGTTTCGAATCGTTTAAATTTCAAAATTTTAGAGATTTTATGTATTTTTGTTGCAACATATCTACGGACGATAATGTCCCCATTCACATAAATACGGTAGTAAATACTGTATGTCTACTGCTGGAGATTTGTCTCCAGCTGTGCTGGTCAAACTCTCTGCTTCCGGGCAGAGAGGATCCCCAGACGAGGAATCGAGTGTCTCGTTTCGGGAAACAGCTACCCGACCCCGTTTTTTACGGGGTCTACAGGCAATTTTCGGCCAAGCCTACGAACTCGGATACCCACATCTGACAGCGTGGGTGGTTGGTAGATATCCTGCAGTTGGAGGATCATTGTGGAATTCACTTGACTTACTTGTAGCAATTGATTACTACTTCTACGCACCGCTGGCGAATCTTATATGTGTTGTTCTTGTCCTAAGTATTATCGTTCATTACCAACCTTCGTTCTATTCAGTAACCTTCTCTAAGCTACAACAATTTTATTGTCCATGACAGATTCTAATCTGCCCGTATGCCATATCTGTATGGTCAAGTTGCAGCCACTTATACAGCTCCCAATGAATGCTGTTCCAAACTAGTCATGCACATACTTATTTTAAATCTAGAATAATAATAATTTGTTACATCTGATTCTTACGTAGCTGTTTTTTACCCTTATTTCCACGTAGTCTACATTTGCCATTTTCCCGAGTTTTATCTATTTTTGGCCTTTATATGGCTATTCTTTTGGAGTTCCGATTTTATGAGCGACTCTGTGTATCTCTTCAGGTTTTTTTTTTACGGAGCTATGTTCTTGTACATAATGTCATTCACTTGATTTCTCTTTTGAAACGCACATAGTTGTCATTCTTCATATTTTTAATTCGTGTTTAGTATCTTCTCATTCTCTATTCATCCACCTGTCCGTCTGGTGGCAGGTTTCAACTGATGCAATTAGTATTTGGCACTTTGCAAGTCTTTCGATACCATCATCGGCGCTACCCTCTATACAGAATAGTCTACTACTTCCTCTTCCTTTAACATCGAGTCTGTTGTAATTGTCTCTTGGTGTCACGTGTGCAACAAAAGAAATAATAAAACAGCAATAAAGAAAACAAGAAAACCAACTAAGTCTTATAAAAAAAAAAGAGGTTTTTATTTTAGTGATTTGGTCAGTGGTTAAAATGGTAAAAACTTAAGTTAGAGATACAGTGTAACCCGGATATAAGAGAGTTGTCGGGATCGGAGAAGAAGTCTCTTATATCCGGGTTTGGTCTATTTTATATACATTAACACGGGCTCTAATTTGGGACCAGAGAAAATCTCACTTATATCCGGGTTTGGTCTATTTTATATACATTAACACGGGCTCTAATTTGGGACCAGAGAAAATCTCTCTTATATCCGGGTTTGGTCTATTTTATATACATTAACACAGGCTCTAATTTGGGACCAGAGAAAATCTCTCTTATATCCGGGTTTCTCTTATATCCGGGTTTGGTCTTTTTTATATACATTAACACAGGCTCTAATTTGGGACCAGAGAAAATCTCTCTTATATCCGTGTTTCTCTAATATCCGGGTTTGGTCTATTTTATATACATTAACACAGGC